AGTAGGTCTCTTTGGGATCATCTTAATTGGAGCTCTCTATATTTCCTGAACTTGGTTAGGAAAGTTTTCTGTCATTATTTCTTTAAACAGGTTCTCTATTCCTTGCTAAATTTCTTCTCCTTCTGGTATCCCTATTATGCTGATGTTACATTTCATGTTGTTCCCAAGTTTCCTTATACTATCCTCCAGCTTTTTAATTCTTTTTTTCTTTTTTCTGCTCTAATTGGGTGTCTTTTTTCTACCTTATCTTCCAAGTCACTGATTCAGTCTTCTGCCTCATTTAATCTACTTTTTATTCCTTCCACTATATACTTGAAAACTGTATTAAGAGTTTGGGGCTTCTCTGTCACTGCTTCCGCGGTTGTTGCATTGTTTCTCTGCTATTGTGTTGTGTTTCTCTGTTGTTGCACTGTGTTTTCTCACAAACCTATTTTTTTAATGTTCTTTTATTGATTTCAGAAAGGAAGGGAGTGGGAGAGAGAGATAGAAGCATAACGATGAGAGAGAATCATTGATTGGCTTCCTCCTACATGCCCCATACTGGGGATTGAGCCTGCAACTTGGGCATGTGCCCTGACCAGAAATTGAACCATGACCTCCCGGTTCATAGGTCAACATTCAACCACTAAGCAACAATGACCAGGCCAACTGATTCTTTTTTTTTAAATCTTTATTGTTCTGATTATTACAGATGTTCCTCTTTTTTCTCCCCATAGCTTCCTTCAACCTGGTTCCCACCCCACTCCAGACCTCCCTCCATCCCACTGACCTCGTCCATAGGTGTAAGCTCTTTGTCCAATCTTTTCCCACACCCCATTCTCCCCGAGAATTGTCAGTCTGCTCCCTTTTTATGCCCTTGAGTCTATTACATTCACCAGTCTGTTCTGTTCATCAGGATTTTTATTCATTTTATTTTTAGGTTCACTTGTTGATAGATATGTATTTGTTGTCACTTTGTTGTTCATAATTTTTTATCATTACCTTTTTCTTCTTCTTCTTCCTCTTCTTAAGGAATACCCTTCAGAATTTCATATAATACTGGTTTGGTGGTGATGAACTCCTTTAGCTTTTTCTTGTCTGTGAAGCTCTTTATCTGACCTTCAATTCTAAATGATAGCTTTGCTGGGCAGAGTAATCTTGGTTGTAGGTTCTTATTATTCATCACTTTGTATATTTCTTGCCACTCCCTTCTGGCCTGCATAGTTTCTGTTGAGAAATAAGCTGACAGTCGTATGGGTACTCCTTTGTAGGTAACTAAGTGTTTTTCTCTTGCTGCTTTTAAGATTCTATCTTTGTCTTTTGCCCTTGGCATTTTAATTATGATGTGTCTTGGTGTGGTCCTCTTTGGATTCCTCTT